TTTTTCCTATCATTATATTTATCTTTATAAATTTTTCTTCTCCTTTTCGTATGATAAAAATAATATAAATATTTAACATTTTTTCGTATGATAAAAATAATATAAATATAAAAATAAAAACTAAGCAAAATATATAAAATATTCAAATTAATGGATAGTTTTATGTTATTACTCTATATACAAATTATTTATTACATAATATGTATATATTAATTTTATGTTGTTGAAGAAAGCTTATAATAATTAAATAATTTTTAAAAAAGTAATTTTACTTTTCAAAATAATATTAGCAATATTATGTAAAAAAAATATATATTATATAAATTTACATTATATATTTAAGAAAAGTAAATACATACATATATATATGTATATATATATGTATATATAAATTTATTTTATTTATTAAACGTAATAGTTTTGAATAAATATTTATTTATATATTATATTGTATATCTGTATAATATTATTTATATATTATAAATATTCATTATATTATTTTTATATTTCAGGTAATGTGAGTAGAGGGTGGACCAACGTCGCATGTAACAGCCGGAAATAATACGAATTCGTTACTTCCGGTTTCCTCTGCATCAGGTACTGTTTGGCCAACTAGTACTGGATGGTTATATATGCCACCACCACCTCCTCCACCACCGCCACCGCCACTTCCACCATCATCAACTCCTTCGACACATTCATCGCGTTTACATGGTCATTGTATCGCTCAAACTTGCACTATATGCTCTCTTAATCTTTAAAATAATATTCAAGTCAAGTTTAAGAAAGACGCTTATCTTATCTTTAATTGCTTTCGTTTACTAACTCTACAATATTTTTATATAGATATTTTTAACATTAAAAATCGTTGTCGATTAGTAAAAATTATCATTTCATAATATATTAATATTCACTTTTTATTATAATAATAATTCAATAATATTGATAAAATTTGATAAAATGAATTTAAACGAAATGAATTATTATATATTAAGTTGTCTCAAAAGTTTTTTGTTATATTTTTATTATATAGATTTTTTCTAGATTTAGATTTTTTATGATTTTATTTTTCTATAATATTAAAATGAAATATATTTATAATAATTCAATATTTTATCATTTATAAAATTTTATATACAAGTAATATAAAATTATATACAAAATAACTATTCTAGTAATAGGTATCCAGATATTATCTTCACATAACTTGTTTATTTCATTATTCCATTTCTTTCAAAATAACTTTGACTTATTTGTAAAATGTTCAAGATAGCTCTTAATATCATCATCTGACCAATTTTTTTTAAACAGAATCATCTGATTATTTTATTTATTGTAATTATAAAAAGTAATCTATAATATAATCAATTTATTATTTGATAATTTTTTAATATTATTATTATTAATAAATTTTATAAAAGAAAATAGAGAGATTACTTAATAAATATTAGAAAATCAAAAGAGAACCGAAAGTTTTATTATAATAAAAACTGTGTATTTTTCAAATCTTAATCAACAAATGAAAACTGCATGCAAATAATAAAAAGAACTTTTGGATAACTTAATATAATAATATACTAAGATACATATAAGAGCAGATAATTTGAAATTATTAAAAATTATTAATAAAAGTTATTTTTTTTACATATGGTGCATAAAATTAAAAATTTCAAATAATTACAAATTATTTTTAATAATTTTATTTTTTTTTTTCCATATATGGTTTGATAAGAAAAGAAAAGTTACTTTTTATATTATTGTTACAGTTAAGAAGAATATCATGCTGAAGAATTACATTTACCAATTTTTAATATTGATATAATGGGTAAATGTTCCTACATTGCTATATGTTGTACATTGTAGTTTTGCAAATGAAAAAAAAATCAAATATCATTTTTTGATCTTATTTAATTTATTCGACAAAAAGCTCAATGTTTAAACAAACGAAAAGAAGAAATATTATCAACTGTGATTTTAAAAAAGCATATATCTTATATATCAATTTTTTTTTAAATTATATCATTTATAGAATATGTACATAAATTTTTGAACTTCCTTTCATAATCTTTTTTCAAATAATAAAAATATTTTTTTTTGCTTAAAATATGACATTATGTAATTTCATGTTTCTTATATATATTAATATAATAAAGTTGTAGTACAGATATATAATGTTTATCAATGCTTAGAAAGTAACGTTTTAAATAACTTCCTAATAACTTCCAATACTTTATTTATAAACAAAATTTTGAATATTTCCAATCAATAAACTATTTCTGTATATTACAAATAGATATACAAATAAATATGTATTATTTAACTATAATAAAATCATAAAAAAATATGTATTTTTTAAAAATTTTATATTATGATATTGGAGTTGTGCTAGTATTTTAAAACATTCCATAATTTACAATGATTTTAATATTTACATTTCCTTTAAAGTAAAGCATAATTTCATTTCTATATAATAGAATATTTTTATCTTAGATATCTTATTACCAATTTATTTGTTTGTTTATTTGTTTTATTATCTTAAGTTTTATTATATATTCATAAAATTTTATGTAATGTGCAATTTGAAAACATTACTAATTTACAATAGTTGTGTTTTCATTTATATAATATTTCAAAAGCATAAATAATAAATTCAACTTAATTATATTAGCCTCAAGTTTACAACTCATCTACAAAACTTATAAATATTGGTGCTAATATTACAAATTTATTTTAATACTATATTATTTCAATAATAAAAAGCTCAATTAGCATTTATTATTATTGTAATTTTAATACAGTAAACTTTTGTGAAGTTTTCAGGTATATTATGTACTTCTTATATGTACATCTTATATTGTGCAAAATCAAGAAAAACATACTGTAATAATAATATTTCATTGAAATAGATGTAAACAAAATATTTATATCATAAAATATTATGTATTCTTAGTATAAAATAATTCCATGTATGTATTAAATATTTGTAAAAATATTACAATGTCTATGTTGTATTCAATAATTAATTCTTTAGAAAAGGGACTTTAAACTGTATTTACAAAAATACAATTCTATATAACTGTATCTACAATTAAGCTCTAAGATATTTAAATTGTTATCAAAGTCTATAATATACATAGAATATCACAATAATTTAATGCAAAACATATATTTTTAATGTATATTTTATTCTTAAATATAAATAATTAAATATTATAATTTGTATCATATTCAATTTATATATATACATATATATTACATCATATTTTTAATTTTTCAATAAAAATAAAAAATAGAAAAAATACTTTAACATTTTTAAAAGTTAATTTTTTTATATATTTTTTGTAAATGTATAATTTAAAATTTTTTATACTTTTATTAGTCGAATAAAATTTAAAAATAACTTATTGAATTTTTGTTATTCTTTTATATTTTTATTAGAAAATGCATTTAAAAAATTTAATTAGAAGTCATTATATAATATATTCATATAAGTCATTATATAATATATTTAATAATCTAATGTTTTGCATTATATTATTAAGATATTCTTTCTGTGTTTCTCTCTTGCATAGAATACAATCAATATGTTAAAATTTATAATTATAATTCTTAAATATAATATTTAATATAATATGAAAGAAAATACTATTACATTAATACAGTCTTAAATATATGAAAATTAATCCTATATTTTTTTAATATTTGTTTCTGTATAATTTGATAAGATATATAATTATTATTTGATTAATTATAATTTTTAATTTTTTAACCATTTATAAACAATCAAATTTTATTTACAATTAACAATATTTAATTATGATTCGACAAATTACATAATTTAAGCTTAAATATTAAATATATGCATATATATTGTAATAAATATATGCAAATATATAATAATTTTTTAATAACTATGAATATTTTTTTAATTAATAATATAAATGATAAAATAATATTCAATTGATTAAATATTATATAAAAATTAATTCTATATTTTCTTAATTAGCTATCAAAAATTATACAAATGTCCAGCTATTTATGAAACAAAAATGCAATTTATATTTAATAATTATTAAAAAATATTTAAGTTAATATCATCCTTAATATCATCCTTAAATCCTTAAATATATTTTTATATTGAATTTAGAAAATTTAAATATTTAAATGAAAACAATTTATATATATTATAATTAATTATTATATATATTATAATTAATTTCCTATATTCATTAAAAAAAATAAATTCAATATTGTATATTAAAATATCAATAATATAAATATATAGATTCTAATATTTGATTTAATGGTAATATTATAATATATTCTTTGTAATATTATATTTTTGGGTAAACATATTTGTGTGAGATAGATATTTTACTACTTATTTTAATATATATTTTATATTTTTATATAATATATATAAAAATGCAATTTGTANTGTTTAATTTTATATTATAATATATATATATAATAATATTAAAGATAATATTTATATTTAACTATAATCTTTATCTAAACAAATGTTTCATATCATTATGAATCTTAATTAATAATTTTTAATATAATTTCATTATTTTTTTTTATTTGCATCAGATGAAATTTCATACTTACATCTGGAATTTATATATAAAATATAATTAAATATATGCTCAATTTTAATATTGTTTCTTATTTATGTGAAATTTTTATATATTTAATATTAATTAATACGATAATAAAAAATCCTTTGTTTATAAATATATTAAAAAATTATTATATACAACTTAATATAATAAGTGATAAAATACAAATAAAGAATTTTTTATCTAAAAATAAATCAAATTATTATAAACATAAATAATTTACAAAAATTTTAATCTTTGAAAGCTGTATAATTTGTTTTGCAATATATAACTTTTCTTATATTTTATTAAAATTTTATTTTCCAAACATTATAAATTAATTATAAAATTTTACATTTTCTATTAATTTTAAATAAATATATTACAAATTTATTTCAAAAAGTGCAATAATAATAAAGTTTAAGTAAGATCAGTTAAAAAAAATTCTTTTTTAATAAATATTATATATATTTTTTCTTATAAAAAAGATAAACATATAAATAATTTCATTTCTCATAATAAAAACATGTAATTTCTTTATATTATAAAATTATCATAAATATAAGAAAGTATGCAAATAATAAAATATATCTAAATACTTATCAATATTAATATTAATTATTTGAATATAATTTACTATAATTTACTATAATTTAATATATTAAATATAAATAAATGAAATTAACTAACATTTGATATAATTTCCATACTTAATATATTAATACATGTATATTTTTGTTACTAGTACAATAGTAATACAATATTAATTTAACATAAAAATAAGTAAGGAAACCTAATACATTTATTCTAAAATTGAACAATTTATTATAAGACAAAGAGAATGACAAAGGTACTTACATATCTTTTTTACATAATATAGTTTGTAATAGCTGCTTATATATCATATTAAATAACTCAATTCTTGAATTTACAAATTAAAAATTAGTATTATAAATATCCTTATATTTAATTAATTAATACTCTTATATCTAGATGAACCAGTCAAATGCGTATTTTTTCCAACCATTAGAGTAGAGATAACATTTTTATACACAATATTAATATTTTGTAAACATGATTATTGTTATATAACATTATAACATGATTATTTGAACCTACTTTTGTAATGTGTACTGCATTACACAGTTTGAAGACATTTTCTATAATTAAAAAACACTATGAATTCTTTATGCACTCACATTAAACATAACTTTGATGCTTTATAATCAAGATTTGTAAAAACATACTTAAAATTTTATTTTTGAATTCAGTCAAACAATATACATGTTTTATAATAGAAAG